AGCTTGGGGGAGAGGTTTAGGTAGGGGAGAAAAAGACAGGACCTGGTAAGGTGGACGGTGCAAGGTGTGTGGCCCTGTCGGGGTCCTGTGAGCCCAGGGCTTTGTGTGGGGTGAATGCAATTTCTCTGCTTTTCAGGAGGGGCATGCATTTTTCTCCAATACACTGACCTCTACTGGCTTAACCATGACTCTTAATCACAGCTGGTTTTTTTCTTGAATTTTTTTCCAAGGAAAAAAGTTTTTCACTTACTATTAAAAACGTTTTGTGTTGCTTTAAAAATATAATTTGCAAAAAATTAATATTTATAGGCTTTGTGTAGTGGAATTTACATTCATCTAGGAAATTCCTAGCTGTCCAAATTTTACTTTTGACCTCTAGAATGTAATGCCCTTTTTTTTTTTAACTGGTAATATACCTCTAAAGATAAGGGAACAAATATTTTTATATAATTTTATTTTTAATTGTAAAATTTATCAATTGCTCTTAATACATGTTGGTATAAGGAAGGCATTATGTTTAGTGAAGAGAGTACAGAATTTAAAATAACTGCAGGTTATCGATCTGTTCAGGCAAATTGTTTAAATTCTCTGGGCGTTCCTCTCACCTGTAAAGGATGATTTCTGTTTCATAGAGCTAGTATAAGGAATATATGTATATGCAAAGTGTTTTGGGGGCTGTTGTTTCTGTGAAAAGTCTTGTCACTGTTATTAAAGTTAAAACTAAGATTAATCCACCACCCTTTTGACCTATACAGTTATTTTTAAAAAATCTTAAAACAGACTTGTATTAATTGTATTGTTATGTGCCTTTTTTACTGGAATTTTTAGAATCCCTCTTACTTGAACGTTTATACATACATACATACATACATATCTATATACCCTTATAATTTATGTATCTGCAAGACCAGGAGCATCGATTGCACTAACATCATGGTAGTGTTACAGTCTGGGTGCGCCTGGCTTAGGTGCTCCCTTCAGCTCTAATCGTCACAGAAGAAGCTGGTCCACATCTATAGTTATTTTAAACTCAGTACGTTGGAAATGCAGCTGGCTCTGTTCTCCTGCCTTCCTGTCCTTCCCATAGTGGGAAGAGTTTTGTATAGTGTGGTGGTTGAGAGGAGCAGCCTTGGAGGCTAGACACTGCGTGGGTTCAGATGGTGGTTCTGTGTCACCTGGGGGCTCTCTGTGCTTCAGAGCCATTATTGGTGACATGAGATTAATAATTGTTGGGACTGTTGGGAGGCCACGTTTGGAATTTTATGGGCAAAACAGTCCCCTGAAAAGCCCGACTTCTTTTTTGTTTGAGCATAGAAGTATCCATAGCAAATGACCTCTGCCAAGCGTCCTGTCTAGCTTGCGGTCTGTTGTCTTCTATTTATTGGCCTTTGTGCTCTGCCCCTCCCTCTCAGGTCACTGTAACATCTGCTAAGGAAGAAGAGGAGAATGAATCTAGCGTAGACAACCAGCAGTCTCTGCCGCCTTGGACTAACCTATTTTCATTCATCCAGCACATATTTACCATGTATTTGCCATGTGCCATACACTTGGGCAGCCTCTGGCTAGAAGAAAAGAATGTTCTTTGTCGTCATGCTGTTTTCTTATTTTTATTTTTCAGATAATAAACACATTTACCAGTGGGTAAATCAAATAACAGATTGTGGCCAGTGCAATGAAGGAAGTAAATGGAGTAATAGATAATGCCATCCCCCCCCCCCGAGTGAGCACTGCCTGAGCCTGCCACCCTTTTCCACGTGGATTACATACCTTTCCGACATTGCCTTACATGGATTCCAAATACCTCATAGCCCTTATCATTCACAGTTGTAATGATGTTTACTTGTCTCCACATGGAGCTCCTGCACAATGCCTGGCACATAGCAGATACTTAGTACATGTGAAAGGAATAGATAAAGGAACAGGTGAATAATTTACAGGACATCTTTGTAAGTTGAGGAAAAAATCCCTTACATCAAGGATTCAAATGTTCGGTATGTTGGCAAAACCAGAAAGGCTTTGGATCTTGAACTCTTCCAAGCTATGGTAGATTCATATGTTTTTTAAAAAAAATAGTGATAATAATGACAATAATAATAATTGTTGGCAATTACTGAGTGCTTGCTTTATGTCAAGTACCTTACATTTAAGGGCGCCCAGGTGGCTCAGTCGGGGTTGAGCGTCTGACTCTTGATTTTGACTTAGGTCATGACCTCAGGGTCATGAGATCGAGCCCCATGTCGGGCTCCACACTCATCGGGGAGTCTGCTTGAGATTCTCTCCCTCTCTCCCTCTGCCCCCCCACCACACGCACGATCTCTTGTTCTCTCTCTAAAATAATAAATCTTTGAAAAAAAAAGAACCTTACGTTTAATCTTCACAACAACTTTCTGCCGCAGGTTCTAATTATAATTCTCCTTTTTCACTAACTAGGAAACTCTGGGCTAACTCAAAGACACCTCTGATTTAAATGGTCAAAATTGAGCTTATGATTCTCACCCCACGTCCTGCCCTTTTCCATTGTTCCTCATCTCTGAATGACAGCACTATCATGTAGTTGGACAAACCCCAAACCTAAAGAAAGACGTTCCCTTTCCTTCATCTTCTCTATCCATTAACATGTATTCGGATCCTGGTAACAAAATCCATCTAACAGTGGTTTTGGGTAAAAATAAAGGAAATCATCTCACAAACAAGTCTACAGTTATTCTAAAGGGTTGGTGGAACCAGGGGCATTATTGAGGCCAGGCCCTTTCTTCCTTCAACCCTGTGGACCTTAGCATGTCCACTTCTGTCTCAAGCTTGTTGTCTCATGATTGAAGGTGGTTGCCTCAACTCCAGGCAGAGTCTGTATTGCTTGTTCTTCTTAAATGTTCATTGTGGTGAAATTCACATAACATAGAGCAAACCACTTTAAAATGTACAATTCAGTGGCATTTAGTGCATGCACAGTGTGGTGTACCCACCAGCTATCTTTAGTTTCAAAACTTTGTCATCACCCCAGAAGAACACACCATTACCCACTGAGTAATTACTCCCCTTGTGCCCCCACCCTCATCCCCTGACAACCTCTGATCTTTCTGTCCCTATGGATTTGTCTAGTTTGGACATTTCATTTAAAAAAAATCAAACAATATGTGACCTTTTTTGTCTGGCTGCTTTTACTTAGTGTAATGTTTTTGAGGTTCATACAAGTTTAAGATGTATCAATACTTCACTCCTTTTCATGGCTGATAGTATTATATATACACAGTTTGTTTATCCATTCATCTGCTGATAGACATTTGGGTTGTTTATACCTATTGGCCATTGTGAATTGTGCTGTTATTTTTTTCTTTTTTAAAAAATTTATTAATTTTTTAAGTTCCAGTGTAGTTAACATACAGTGTTATATTAGTTTCAGGTGCACAATGTAGTGATTCAACAATTCTGTATACTCAGTGCTCATCAGGACAAGTGTGCTAAGTCTTAATCCCCTTTACCTGTTTCACCCACCCCCCACCCACCTCCCCTCTGGCAACTACCAGTTTGTTCTCTATCTTTAAGAGTCTGTTATTTCTTGAATGCCATATATGAGTGAAATATTATGGTATTTATCTCTCTGACTGACTTCACCTAGCATTATCCTCAGTCCATCCATGTTGTTGCAAATGGCAAGAATTGGCTGAGCGGAGAAAATGGCATTTCTTTATTGTGTCTGTAGTTAGTCTAGTTTTTCTCTTTCTGCTCCATACAGGAGGAGACCCAATGATTAGCTAGGGGGAAAAATTCAATACAATTTAAAACTTGGTCTAGTACAATGACTTAAATAGTGTGGGATAAAGATACTCAGTCTTTGTCTGCTTTATACCCTGGATGATTTAAGTGTTTGGGGTGAGGGATGTGGCCTATATCATCTCCCACCAGTGGGGAACTGCTTATTTCCCTTGGTTTGATTTCTGCTACTTCCTTTGGCCTCTAGAAGAATGTTCCATTACCTTCTAGATGTGTTTGCCTTGCTGGCCTGTGCAGATGATGTCATGGCTAGTGTAACTCATGGTGGGGCCTTTCTGGTTGGTGAGAACTTAGTGGTGCTCCCTGACTGCTTCATTTTCTCTCTGGCTCCTTCTCTCTGAGCTCCTCTGGGTCTCTTCCATGTCTGTATCTGGGCCTGCTGGCCCGGAACTTCATCCACAGCCTTTGCTGCAGGATTTCCAGGTTCCATCTGGGCCCATTGGTCAGCCTTCTAGCTCAGGAATCTGAGTCTCAAAGTTTACGTTACCTGACCATGACTGGAAAAACCTTCTCTCAAGGCAATGACCTGGCCTGTGAGACTATGGATTTACTGTGTAACCCTTCTGTGTATGTAAGATGCTTCCTTTTATCTCTTCACACTTCCTTTACTAGTAAAACCTAATAACTCCCCGGACAGATGAATGCTTCCAGCAGACTAAGGCTAAGGTCACAAACTTGGACATGCAAAACAACAACAAAAGTAGTAATTTTCAAACACTTTCACTGTTGCATGTGTGTATATAGACATATGTGAGGATAATACTTCAAGAGTCATGTAATTCTAAGTGTACACAAGGCTTAAATTTAAGGAATATACAATCTATAAAGAGGCATAAGTGGTGTGCATATGTATATTTATATATAAGTAAATATAGTTGAGATCTATATGTATATAAAATATGTATAGTTAAGATGTATATAGTTAGGGCGCCTGGGTGGCTCAGTCGTTGAGCATCTGCCTTCGGCTCAGGTCATGGTCCCAGGGTCCTGGGATCGAGCCCTGCATCGGGCTCCCAGCTCGACAGGAAGCCTGCTTTTCCCTCTCCCACTCCCCCGGCTTGTGTTCCCTCTTTTGCTGTCTCTCTCTCTCTCTGTCAAATAAATAAATAAAATCTTTAAAAAAAATAGATGTATATAGTTAAAGTTAAAAGAGGTTTGGTTTCTGTCCGTCAGCATTTCCCATGACTAAAAACGCTGTGATTTAACACACATATTTTTTCCTTTTGCAGGACCGTTCGTGTATGGCTAAAGAGAGACAGCGGACAATATTGGCCAAGCATATACCAAGTGATGCCTTGTAAGTATCTGGATCTCAGTCTTTAGAAATCAGACATGGACCCCACCTCCCCTTCCTTTCCAGATTGCCTTCTCTGTATTTTCTTCTTGAGTAGGAATGTCTGAGGGTTGGGATTATCATTATAATGGAAAGTACCATATTCAATCATTTTAGCTCTCAGTATGTAAAATAAGAAAATTGTTCTGACATTGACTATATATTCATAGTTTCTGAATAAGATTAATGGAAGAAGGACTACAGCACACAGGCTCTCTGATTACAGCTGTCTTCCTCTTTTCCAACTTTTTGTTTAACTTTTTCTGGAGTACTTCCTTCAACATTTAAAATTTTGCCCGGCGATTACATTTGTGAAGTAAGTTTGTTCTTGCGTTATTGTTATGTTATGTCATTCAAATACAAGACAGTCAGTTGATGATTTAGTTCTCACAAGGATTTCCTTAAGACTGAAACATTCTAATTGGAGGTCAATCTCATTTCCTCAAGCTCTTATATGAGAAATATGTCCTTGTACTGATAAATAGCTAATCTTTGAAATATATTTAAAAAAAAATACATATGACTGATTCTTAGATTGGTGTGCTGGCAGAAGTTCTCCTACAGGGAGAGAAGAGCTGGCTCCTCAAAATAGGAAATTTCGTTTTAGTCTGGTGTTTTATTGTTAAAAATTAATGAAGGTTGGGCATCCTATTCCATGTTTATTTGAGTATAAGATAATTATTTAAATTCATTATTAGTTATATTAGTAAACATTTCCCTGACTCCCCTTCCTTCAAATCTTAATTAAAATTGACACCCTAGAAAAATCCCGTTGTTTGGGCCCGGGTACCCTCTGGCTTGCTGCAGTGTGCACCTCTTCCCTTGATATGAGTATCCTGATTTGGGAAGTACATGCCACAGTGTACAACCGAAATAAATTCATGCTAAATTGTAGATGTGGTTAAGTTTATGCCTCTGGCAACAGAATACTGTGATAACTTAAAGAGCAGTTTTGCTTGTTGATGAACAAATGAATTATTAAGGATATAATGGCTTTCTGTGATTTTCAAATTATCTTTGAGGTTTTGCGTGTCTTTAGAATTTTATAGTAAATAAATGATAACCACGAAGCTGAACCAAGTGGTCAATCCTGCATTAGGGAAGAAGAAAATTCTTGTGATTCTTATATTGGCCCCTGACCTGTTGTGCCTCCAGCAGACGGCATTCAATAGCAAAAGGCCTAAGTGAACTTTCTCTTTAAGCTGTGGCAGTGATAAGGGCTCAGGTAAAAGGAAAGGGAAAGGAATTCTCTGATGGACTGTTTTTCCTGATCTTTGAGTAATATAACCAGTCTTATCCGTGATCTTGCTTTTTCATCAACCTTAACACAATATCTAACTAGAGGAGGTGGGGAAGGTCGGGGTATCTGTCACTCCCATGACCATGAAGACAGAGGAGAGTCAGATCTGAGCAGAATGATGAGAGCTCGGGGATGGTGAGCAAGGAATCTTCTTGAGATGAACACAAATAGGAACCTCATGGAGACACAGGATCCTAAACAATTGCTTCTCTGCCCCCTTCCCCATACACACATATCCACGAACATCAGAGAATGATGTTCTCTTTATTTGAATATCACTGAGAATACAAAGAAGCCTCTGGTTGCATTTTTATCGTTTATGAAGCTGTATGAATAACTATAGGTTGCTGTAGCTCCTACACCAGGCAGAAGTGCTCAATACATAAATACTTATTGCAGACTTGAATCTGATAATAAAGAAGAGTGCCGAGAACATCATTGGACATTTTCCTAGTGATTGAACACAGTCTTTGAGAAGGAGTACCCTTGACTTATTTGCATATTTTGCCTATGGCCTTCTACCAAAGGGAGTGAAAAAGGCATTACTTTGCTATTAAAATGTGTTTCGACCAGCTGCTTTAGGGTCACGTGAGAACTTACTAGAAATGCAGATATTGGGTTCCACGCTAGATCTACTGAATCAGAACCTGCATTTTTAATAAGATCCCTAGGTGATTTGAATGTACTTTAAAGTTTGAGAAGATTGTCCTCTGGCATTATAGGCAACAAGCTGATCTATTTACACATATTCATATGAACACATAGAAAGCCTCATGCATATATAGTATTGATTTATAAATACATAGATTTAAGTATACATTATAAGTACACATTCTAGTGGATCAAACATTTATTGCGCACTTGCTGTATACAGGCCACTGAGCTAGTTGCCAGGGTTTGCAGATGAATAAGGTGCGTATGGTCAAGGTGATTTCCATAATCTTTCATTGTTGGATGCCTACCACTACCACAGAGACGTAAAAGAACAGAAGGCTGTGTTCTTCACATAGCCTTGGCTTTTATGTTCCTAGGAATTGAATGCATTCAGATAACATAGTAGCTGATCTTTGAGCAAGAGTCAGATTTGTTTAACTTGAGAGAGGCAGGATCTTACTGCATAAGGAATTATGCTATATTTTTGGACAGTTAGAAAACCTGAAATAGCTTTGAATTTCCAAAGGATTGTTTTGCATTTCTTTCTATTGAAAGGTGTTTTGTTAAGACATTACTTAGTCTTATCCTTAAATAACGGTTTTGTGGTATTAGTTAAAAATAAGTAGAAAGGTGCGGTATATCTGGAGGCTATGACATGGACATCACAAGGCAGATGTGACCATATGATGCGTTTATAGTGGTATATAATAAGTAGTACTCCAAATCCAGAAGAGAACATAAAGAAAATATCTTATACATGTAATATATGGCTTATTTGTTTATTTTGTTTATTACAATACCTTTTAATATAATATTTGTCATGTTCAAGGTAGGATAGTAATGTTTTGTAGCGTTGAGAAGAATTTGAAGTTTCATGGAGGGGAAGAAGTAGAAGGCATTAGATGAGAAGGAATGAATGGTGAAGGCTAAGTGTGATGGTTGGGAGTGAGCCTGAAAGGCGAGTAAATGTGAGAAGGCTGCATGCATTTAGGGTGTGGTAGACAAGAGAAGGATAAGGAGCAGACACCTCATGATCAAAAACACACCTGCTTTGGGTGTGTGCCCTCTTACCCTGTGTTTTCTGAGAAGCTCCCGCTTCCCCTTTAGGAGGGAACCGGGAGAGGCCAGACTTGCCTGGTTAAGGCTATTGGCTCCTGAGCCAACCTGATTTTCCCAGAATTTAGAATTTGAAGTAGGAAGTGCTCGTTTCAGCCTCAGCTGGTCCCTTGAACTGGGAACATGTAAACCTTAGAGCTGTGAGGTATTTAAGTGCGTAAAGAAACAGTGAAAGCTGATCCACTTAAAAGAAAGTATGAATCAGAGAGGAAGGACCGCTTGGCTCTAGAGGGAGAGAAACCTAAGCGGGTGATGCCTGGAGGTTTTTGTCCTCCTCCCCCTGATCTCCAGAAGCCTGGCTCTGCTCCTGCCTTTGAATTCAAGAGCTATGTCCATTAGTGCTTACATTCACTCCAGTGGGTTTCTGTTCCTCCCAACTGCAAGTTTCTGACACGGCCTAGCCCTGATTGTATACCTCCCAATTCCTGTCTGTTCAGTTTCTCCAGGGTCTCTCTGATCTTTAAAGAGAAAAGACTGAGCCATGTCCCAATTGATGCCACTGTGATGTTGAGCTGAAAATAGTCTGGGATGAGTGAGGGCAAGTAAAGAAGAAAAGCACAAAGAAATATTTATCCTGTTTAATTTCTTTGGACAGTTCATTCAACGAATTTTAGAAGTTTCTTCCATACTCGGGGCGCCTGGGTGGCTCAGTCAGTTAAGTGACTGCCTTCAGCTCAGGTCATGATCCTAGAGTCTGGGGATCAAGTGCCACATTGGGCTCCCTGCTCAGCAGGGAGTCTGCTTCTCCCTCTGACCCTACCCCCTCTTGTGCTTTCTCTCTCATTCTCTCTCTCTCAAATAAAATAAAAAAGTTTCTTCCATACTCAACACTGTGCAGTGTCCCAAGGATGTAGTGGTTAAGTAGGGCAGATGATTCCTGTCTTCATGGTGTGTACAGTCTGGTGGGGAAGGTGGACTTAAAATAAGCACCACTCATGCTGTGTGCTGAGTGTTATAATGGGAAAGAAATAGGCATCATGGGAACATGGTCACAAAGGTTCCCTGAAAAAAGCCCCATTTAAAACCCTGCTGTCGGGGTGCCCACTGGGTGGCTCAGTCGTTAAGTGTGTGCCTTCGGCTCAGGTCATGATCCCAGGGTCCTGGGATCGAGCCCCACGTCGGGCTCCCTGCTCAATGGGAAGCCTGCTTCTCCCTCTCCCACTCCCCCTGCTTGTGTTCCCTCTCTTGCTGTCTCTTTCTCTATGTCAAAATAAATAAATAAAATCTTAAAAAAAAAAACAACCCTATTGTCTATGGAGAATTTGGGGTGACTGATGACTTGTTTTGTAGTTTCCTATGTGCCAGTGTTTATGGATGAGTGAGAAATAAGAGCATTTCCCTATCTAATATTCTTTCAAAAAATCCTATCTTCTTGACGTATCTTGTGTGATAGCTGCTTATTGCCTATGATAAGATTAAGTTACAGCGTACCCAACTGGGACCTGCTTGAGCTTGGAAACGAGGGAGGGTTCTTTCTGAGGGTATAGAGTTGAGGTTTCAGTTGTAGCCATAAATGATTATTTGTTCCAGGCTTCTGATAGATATCATTTCAACCACCACATTTGCATCTCTCTACAGAGGGAAAAAACAAAACATGAAAAGCATAGGCATTCCCATTTTCATGGTTGAGTTATTTTAGATTTACTTTTTAAACTAGGTTTGCCATTCATGGGGTCAAACATAGGGATGGAGGAGAGAAATCTCAAGCAGAAGCCAGGGTGGCAGGTGTTTGAGATTTTACTTAGTGTATTAAAGTATTGGGTATCATGTATGGGCTTTTCCCCTTGGGCATGGAGAATAGGGTAAAGCAGCTTGGCTGCCAAAGATGTAGTGACTAGGAGGTTAAGAGGCCCAGAGCCTCAGGACTGAGGGTGTGCTGGACAATTGGAAAACC